TAGAACATATTAAAAGGCTGACTTCATTACCAAAGCTCAGGATAGCCCTTCTTACCTCATATTCAGTGATGTACTACCAACGGCTTGGGATCTATCCATTTGAAAGCATTGGAGGTTAGTTAGTCCTTAAGAATCTTTGTCTGTGGAAGGTCCTGAATAGTTTTGCAGGATATTCGTAGAAATTTCAAGGTGAGGGAATTTATGTTATTTCATTTTCCTTGGTCTCAGATTAATTTAAAACCTGGGTCCGTAATTCTCTGAGAATCAGAAAAGATAAACAGAGAAAGCAAAACAGAGCCACACAGAAATACACACACACATGCACGCGAGCGCTTATAAAGAGAATGATGCAAACAGGACAAGGAGAATTGGAAGGTGATCAGTTAAGACATTAAGTGTTTTGTGACGCACGGACGCGTCTGCATTTTGCCCTGATAACAGGCCATCAGCTCGTTTTCAGAGGGCTGCTGCCTTCTTCAGCTCAATCCGCAGATCAAAGCAAAACTGTCTGCTTGCATTTTGCAGTCAGAATGGGGATGCTAATTTATACTCCTTAATGTGTGAGGGTAAGAGACTCCTTCAATTAACTGAATTCTATAGCTGGCAAAATAAAAGGTACACAAAGAGGCGCAGGCTGGAAGAGCCGAAATTCTCATTAAATCAAAAGGTCCAGTATTCATTACCGCGTGCATCTGAGGCTAAACACTAAATATGGGGCTCATCAAAGGAGGTTTAATGGGTTAAATTGAGAATATAATCTAATTAAAACATTAGACACGGCAAATAGTTCTTTGATATTCATCTAAAGGTTTCATTAAAAATGGGTACTTGAGGCTTGTATGATAGATTATCAATTTTAAGTAGAGACAGCATCCTTGGTACTGATTCAAAGTGTCACCATTGTGTGGAAGCAGGGGAAATGGGAAAAGACATCACTGCCAGGTGACAGGTTAGAGATACAAGGTAAGGCCAACCAGGATTCATGATAGTGATTTTGATCACTGTCTGCATGACAAAAAAGAAAGCGTAAGGATTAATTTAGGAGACAAATTTGCCACAGAGGAAAGAGTCCATTTGGGGCCCAAATTATTTGGTGTAGAGATCTACAGTGGTTTTTTTCACTGGACATTCATTCTGTTCTCTACTTCCTTCTCCTGTATAGACAGCTTCCCGAAGGATAACTGATTATACTTTGTGGGTTTTAAATTTCGGAAGGTTATTTCTCCCAGTGTCAAATTCGCACCATAAGCATATCTACTATTTAAGCATCTCTTGCAAAAGCTTGGGACTCTAGCCATAAGAGGTACTCTCAAAAGCCAGTCTGGCAGCCCCGGTATCAGGTCTGGTCTCTACGAGCTGTCAACTCAGTAAAGAAAGTCTGTGAAATCTTAATAGATATTTTCAGGGTTGCACTAAATTTATTTGCCTGAAATGCTCATATCATTGTAATCCTCTCGACCTGTTAGAGCTGTTTAATAGCGGAAGACCATTTATTCAGCTTATTGAAAATTAATTACTTATATTGCCCAGGTTTGCAAGGGGACAATGAAAAGGCAGTGGAGAGGCAGCAAGGGAGATAAACCTTGCCCACCAAATTCTTTTTTCTTCTCTTCATTTTACCCAAAGAGGCCCTATACTGAGTGGTAGAGAGAGCTGAAAAATCTGTTCATTTTGCATCTTATTGCATCTCTCACTGTGATGTTTTCATAACCTTTTGGGAAAGTCCCAACTTTTCAGTTATTCCACTGAACCAAAATTAAGTAACCAAACATGAAGAATGGGAATCTTTAAGATGAGAGAATAAAATGAATGAACGAATAAATGAATGACTGAATGAATGAAAAAAAACCCTGCCATCCAAAACCTTTTGCTTTCCATTGAATGGATGTTTGCTTAGGAAATTGAGACATTTTGTATTTTCTCTGTACCTTTGTGAGAAAGATGTGTGGCTTTGCTTCATGAAGTTGAGAGGGGGAGCAGAAACAAATACTGTACTTAGTCTGGAGGCAGTGAGTTGTGGGGACAGTTCTGAATATCAGATTTTTAGCTATTCTGAGATCCTACTTCAGTATATTTTAAAAAGTGGAATAAATAACTAAATAAAATTTTGTTAGAATACATAATTCTCCTTTTTTGCCTTTATAATATAGAAATTTTGTCTGACAATATAGACCATTTCTTATAATGAGGGATACAGAGGGAAGAGATACTGGATAGACAAAATCCACAATAATGAAAAACTGACTTTGTGCTACTGTTTAAATCCTGTCTCACTGGGAAAACAACTAAAGAGGCAAGGCAGCATTTATGTGTCCTTTCGTCTTTCTGTTTTTACCCATTAGGAATAAAAGTTATGAAAACTCACTTAGCATTAGGGAGAAGCCCTATAGTCACATCCTGTAGAATACTTGCGTGTTAGAGGAAATGTGTATTATTCAAGATTTATTCTTACTCTGATTCAAGATTCCTATTCTTACTCTGATAGGAAAAGATGATCTTTAAAAAGGCACATTTAGGGGCTTCCCACTGGTGGCGCAGTGGTTGAGAGTCCGCCTGCCGATGTAGGAAACGCATCGTGCAGGACCGGATTCGTGCCCCGGTCTGGGAAGATCCCACATGCCGCGGAGCGGCTGGGCCCGTGAGCCATGGCCGCTGGGCCTGCGCGTCCGGAGCCTGTGCTCCGCAACGGGAGAGGCCACAGCAGTGAGAGGCCTGCGTACCGCAAAAAAAAAAAAAAAAGGCACATTTAGGAAAGCAACCTTAATTTTTCCTTAAGAACTTTATATTTTCAAGTGCAACTTCTAATATAATGGTAATATCTGTTTTGAAGCACATGTTAGAGTTAGTTAAACTTGTCCTGGTATGTGCAGACTATCACCCAAATTCAATTCATTTTATGCAATTTTTCAATAAGTAATTAAAAAAGAATCCCTCCTGAGTTTATCCAGTCTGATATTGTAGACCATTTGCTATCAATTCAAAGTTCTCAATTAGCTCCAGTGTTGTTCTAATTACTGGATGTGTTTTCAAGCAACTCCCAGCTAATAACTGTTGGGATGAAGAGTCATTTTCTCGCTCTAGACTAGACTGTGCACGCTCATGCTTACTGTGATGTTTTGACAATGATTCATTAACCAATAATAAGGCCCCAATTGGAACAATTAGACATCGATGCCTTTGCTAGGCTGACCTTTTATTTTGTTCCTCAATATTGTCTTTTCTTCAGTTGGTTTCTAGATAACTCCCAAGAGACTCCTTACTATACAAAGCAATATCATGAAGACAGCTGTCATTAAATTCAGCTACTTGTACAAAAGCTGCCTCTAGGAGCATGCTCTTGTTGGAAACTCAAGATGGAAAAACATCATAAAAGGAGTCTGTAATAAGAGAATACATGATTTAAAGGTCCTTTATACCAGTTCATAGAGATTAGGGAGTTAGGCACTATGTCTTTCAATGGCTTGTATAACATCTGGTCAAATCCAGGCCCTCCATCATTATGTCACTCAAGTTCATGGTTCCTTGTCTTCTAATAGGCAGATTATTTTTATTTCCTAAATATCTGAAACAGAAATATGATAAAAATTAATCACTGATCCACTCAGGTCTATAAAAGATCAATGTTAGTGTTGATAGTACAATTGCCTTTAAAGGAGGAGCCAGACAAGCGTTTGTCATTTACTGCTTTTGCAGAACCTCTACCCTGTCTTAGTATCATGGTGCCTTAGTGACATTCTGCTGGATCTTACCATTGTGGGATGACTTGGGGCCAGATGAAGCCTATTTTGATCTATTCTTTGATTTCAACCCCAAGCTCTCAGCAAGTATGTTCTATTTCTTTAGTCAAACTCATTTTAGATGCTGCCTGTCACTTTCCGTGTTTGTGTACAAAGAATTTTGATTGCTCTAGGGTCGTATATACTGGATGGTAAAGCTTTGCCTTGAGTGTAAAGTTCCTGTGAAATGTTGTCTGATATCAACTGGATCACTGAACCTGCTTCAGCTGGGTGTGGGTTCTTAATAGGAGGTGTGAAAGTGCCTGAAGGATTTAGTGCTTAGGCTGAGAGAAATGGTTAGGGAGAGGTTTTTAAATGTTCTGAAAAAAAAAATTGAAATAGTGTCTCTTTTATTGGTCAGCATTTGAGTTGCACTGTAGATGTCTCTTACAACTTCATCAATGTAGTAATAAAGTTGCCAGACTGTACATGTTAAAAATGCAAGGTAGATAGTAATGCGTATTTCTAAAAATGGAACTTAAATGTTGGAAGTTCATGTCCCAAATTGAAATATATAATTACATCCTCCTTGCCCACACAGAAAAACAAGAACTCTCTTCCCACAAACAAATAATCAAACAGTGCTCTCCTTGCTGTTGAAAGATTGGAGTTTAGACCTGGCTAGTCTCCCACTGTAGGACTGAAGGACTTCAGAGTCCCTTATCCTTTCTTGATCTCCATTTCCTCTTCTGAAAGATTGCACTTGAACAAGATAAACCCCTTCCAAGCTCTAAATTCCTTTAAGATAATTTAGTAGAAATGGAATGTTTAGAAAATTTACCCTGTCCCTTTAAAAATGAAAATATGGTAATGTCTCTTACGCATTATTTTTAGCTTCCAGAGCAAGTTTTAAAATATAGGGAAGTTTTAAAATATAGGGGAAAAAATCATTCTATCTCATGTTTCTAGAAAAGTCTTTAAACATGTACCTTGAAGGGTCCTCTTCTTTTACAGATACATTTTAGGAGCAGCTTGGGCTGTGATTTTCCTGAACTAACTCCTCATATATGCTATGATTTTCCAAATACTACTGAAACATGATTCTCCAGTTTACTGTTTATGTTCAGATACTTGTTATCTTTCCAGACTTTCAAGGCTGTTTCCAGTATTAAGAAAAAGTTTTGTACAGGCAGCTTTTCTACCACATTGTGGTATATGTAAAATTTATACAATATAGGAATAAACCTCCAAAGCCAGTCCTTATGCCACCTGTATAGAGACACAGATTTTCCCTAAATTATTGTTAAATGTGTCCATTTCTGGATGTAGCCATCTAAGAATGCAATGCCCATCTAGTACAAGCAAGTAAGTAAAATTTAAATCCTAATTTAATAGGATTTAAAATAGTCCCAGGGACTATTTTAAGACCTGGGAATTTCACAATGTTTATGCAGTTTCAAAAGATTCTTTAAAAGGGAAAAAATATTAATATTGACATTCAGTAGGATGTTTCTGTGGGATGTTTTTGTCTTACCTAATGTTTTTGTGTGGAAGCACACGTTTGATATTTTAAGATATTTTTGAGGGCAAGATGTTCAGCAAATTTATGTACTTGGAGTCAGCAGCTTTGAGCAAGCATCTCTCTCAGAGGTGCCCGAGTTGCGTGCTTTTGGACTTGGTGGATTTCTAATTAATATCTTGATGCTCTGTTAGAACAACATTGAGATTTGTTTAACTTGAGTAGCACATCTAGAAGCACTTTCATTTGTTAAATTTTACATACAAACCCTTGGCTAAATTTAGAGATTTCTGAAATATTTTGGAAATGATATTGCAAAATTTACCGGTGTTTAGTCCAAGTTGAGTTCTTTTCAATAGAAACTGAAGTGCTTATAGTTTTTTTTTTAATCAGAAAAATGAGAAAGAAACACAAGTAGATACATTTATTTCTGGGTAACTTTAAGAGTTTCATTATGCTAAGAAAGGGTAGCGATCATTTAAGAAATTAAAAGAGCCAATATAAAGCCAAAAAGAAATCAAAGGATCCAGGATAAAACCCAAAGGCTTTACTCCCTAGTTCTTATTCAGCCCCAATATTAACTGATCTGAAAATAAATAATTAAAATAGTTTTTCTTCCTGGAAAGTAAAATATGGCGCCGTAATGTAACAGGGCCCCATATTTTAAACCCTGTACGAAGCAAACGTGGACTGCAGTGAGGTGACGATGCTAGGTCATCACTCTCAATGCAGAGCAGTGGGTTGGAGTTTCTCTTCTCCAGGTCCATCCCCTGGGCATCTCTGGTCATCTCTTGTCTATACAATGTGAAGGGCTTTAAAAGCAGCCACAGCCTGTTTTTCCCTTTCGTGTCTGTTCTGCAGTACTTCCAGCAGTGAGATTTCAGGTAAAATGTCTCCGTTTCCAGCATGGGTTGGATTTTTCTTTTCCTTTGAGGCTTGACCACTCAGATTTGCAGGTTTGGGTTTGGGGATGGTCTTAGCATATTCCAAAGCCTAAAAGCATAAAGATAAAATTTTATTTGAGATGGGAAGTGAACCCTGGATTCCTTAAATTAAATCTAGTCTTAGGAAAGGTTTATTGATAATATAATTGGAGACTATTGCTACAATAATGTACTAAGGGATGGATGGAAATGGAGACCAAATGGAAAATACAAATAATGCAATATAACGCACAGTTTAAACAAAATCAATTAGCCACGTAACAAAATGCTGTGGAAAAAAAGAGTTGAAGAATGATATGTACGGTTGTGACTCTGGACGTTTTCTTCATAAAACTGAGTTTTATTCAAGTGCTTGAAAATAGATTTCTTATGTGTTTGATCTGTTTAGCTTCTGGCAGTCTTATTAAAACCAAACTTTTATTGAGGAGATATTAACTGACCTTTCCATCCAAAGAGGACTTGTTACAGCTTGAGACCAAAGACATCACTGTAGTTGAGATAAAACTGAGTCTCCATTATTACACCAACTATTCTCGTTTCTGGGTTCTTACAACTCTGGCAAGTATTTATTAGAGGTTGAAAATTATTTTTTCCTTTTCTTTAGCATATCTATAGATACCTGGATACTAAAAAAAGGCAGTCTTTTTTTCAGTGATGTCAGTTCTGACAGGCATTACAATAAAAATGAGATTACTGAATATGATTTCTAAATCTGCCTTTATATGTTTTACTTTTCTAAAATTAACCATTTTTAAAAATTGAAGTATAGTTAATTTACAATGTTGTGTTAGTTTCAGGTGTACAGCAAAGTGATTCAGTTATATATATGTGTGTGTATATGTATATATATATACGTACTTTTTCAGAGTCTTTTCCATTACAGGTTATTACAAGATATTGGATATAGTTTCCTGTGCTATACAGTAGGTCCTTGTTGTTTATCTATTTCATATATAGTAGTGTTATATGTTAATTCCAAACTCCTAATTTATCTCTCCCCACCCCCAGTTTTACAGTTTAATAAGCGTTTCTTGAGAGCTAAAATGGGAATGGATAATATACGTAGGTCCTAGAAGGGGAAAAATCTCCAAAACAGAAAAACTCCAGACTTCTCAGTGTGTGTAGCTGACTTCTATTGGAATTTCTAATTATAGACTTGTTGCCTTGAATCTCTTCATGAACAAATAATGGATTGGAGAAAAAAAGAAAAAGTGGCATCATGGAAACTCAATCAAGTGGATTGAGGTCTTCAAGGTCTGAGGAAGAAAGGCAATAGATAGAAAATATGAGAGTCTGTGAAAGAGAACACGAAGTACAAATTCCTAAAAGCACCAAAGGGTCACTTGTCCCTCGTGCAAAGGGTCCCACGTCCTTACTGGGACTGAGGCAGAGACTTGTACTGCAAAGCTCGGTGTCTCCATAGAACGTATTTCATTCACATCACAACTTAGAGTTGGATGACTTCTGAGAAGGAGAACATCCTGTATTTATCATTTTTATTGGGTAGAGGAACCTATATAGTACCATCCCTTAGGAGAAATATAGGGAATGAACTTGAGAGAAACAGTGAAGGACTTTCCTCTGACATAAGCACCCGGACATGGCAAGAAGATGCTAATTTCTTAAAACTTATTTAATGGTAGAGAAGGAAATTGATGGTTAATCAGGATTATTAGTTTTTTTCTATGAAATCACCTAACCATTGCATTTTTGTGTGAGAAACTCGAAATACTATACTTGGAGGAAAACATGTGGAAGACTAAAGATAACAGTGAACTTCAGGGGAAAAAAGAGGCTAACCTTCCAGCATCATATGTGTGTATATCATTTTTACATCAATATCTGTGAATGATGGGGAGCCGCAGGAACAGTAGTAGCTAAAACATCCTCTGTGTTCAAATAATGTGGGGAATTCATTGTTGTGAGGTCACAGAGGTTTCCTTTTAATTCTAATTAAAAAGACAACTGCCTTCGTGAGAATTTCTTACCTTCTGCCGAGGGACAGCAGATTTATTTTCAGTCTTTGCTATTTGTGGCTTTGACGGGATGGATAGTGCCTTCATGTTGTATTCCTTTACTTGTTTTGCATATTCCTTTTGCTGTATTAATTTCTGCATCTGTTCAGAGAAACAAAGTGAGGGTGACTCACAGGTCCTGCTAGATCGCTCTGTTCTCTATCTAAATGGACACTAATTTTAGTGAGCTGGGCACGGGGGAAATGGGATCACCGCGTGTAAGGTGACAGCAGTGAAATGGTTAAGTTAATGTCTCTCCTAGAAATAGTTTCTCTTGAGGGGCGGAATGTCACTGCAATAGCACACCCGGTGTTCACTTAACAGTGGCTAAATCACATTCAGCCTCTTCTTTGTTGCGTTTACCCAATTTATTTTCACTTTTGCTTCCAACTTTGAACTCTACTCTCTTTTTATGCCTTGAGTGCAGCTGCAGTTAAAACACATTAAATGAAGATCTCCTTTCACTAGAGGAAAGAGAATAAAGTGGATGTACTTTTCATGGCTTGGGAAACTCTTACCCTGAGTGTCTTCTCTGTAGCCACTCCTCAATATTATCAAGATAACTCTATTGGGAGAGACCAACGACCACATAACACACACATCTCTTTTCATGTGCATGTGTCCCACTTTTCTGTTTGGGCCTTCAAAACTAACTAAAAGGTGGATACATAAAACAACATTGGCTGAGTAACTTTTATTTTATGGTAGAAGTAGTGCCCGGGGCTTATTACCAATGCTACTTCAGAAGGGTCTCTATTCAGAGGGAGACATTTGAATTAGGACTTGGTTCTGGGGGTATCTTTTTTTTTTTTCAGGTCCATACCTTTGTTTTTATTTATTTATTTATTTTTTACATCTTTATTGGAGTATAATTGCTTTACAATGGTGTGTTAGTTTCTGCTTTATAACAAAGTGAATCAGTTATACTTATACATATGTTCCCATATCTCTTCCCTCTTGCGTGTCCCTCCCTCCCACCCTCCCTATCTCACCCCTCCAGGCGGTCACAAAGCACCGAGCTGATCTCCCTGTGCTATGCGGCTGCTTCCCACTAGCTATCTACCTTACGTTTGGTAGTGTATAGGTGTCCATGCCACTCTCTCGCTTTGTCACAGCTTACCCTACCCCTCGGTTCTGGGGGTATCTTTATACAGTTTTGCTGGAGGACAAATGGCAAATCCAATCCTGGAATTGCTGTATGTACATCACACTCACTTTGTCTCTGATGGACTCAAGGTCAGGTCCGAGGCCTCCAAGCTTCATGTCTCTGTTCTGATAAGCTTTCAGCTTGGAACTCTAAAAATAAAATCAAAGTGACAGTTTCTTTTAAAGACTTGTATGTCCCCCACCCTCGAGTTGTCATGGCCACATAAGAAAGGGAAGAAGCAAAATGAAGAATGGCAGCCTGTGTGGACCGTGGGAGAGTGGGTGTGTTTCCCAACAATTCTTCCATTTTAATGGTCGTCATTGATAACAGTTTCCTTGGTAATTTGTAGCTGGTGAGCTAACATGTTTGGACTTTTCCACTTCTGCAAAAAAAACACTGAAATTCTGAAAATTACAAATAAAAAATTTCAAGTGAGTGAAGTGCTGCTTTGTTATTAACATTTTTATCATAACGGATCCATTACTAATTTGCTGCTGCTGCTGTGAGTAGTATGTCTAGTTTTGTACCGTTCACTGAACCAACTGATTTCCCTGGAAGAGGCGATCTAAACGAATCAGGTAAGCACACTGCTTCGAAGAGAGAGCACCCTGTCTAATGTCATAATATTCAAAAGAAAGGAAACATTTAAGGGTTAAGAGTCTAAGCAAGACCCACTGAGAAACTCATTTTATTCAGTGTGATTTTGGATATTTTGAAAGGTACAAATAATTTTACACGATAATGCTTATTACTATTGCATATTTAAAGGGGCAGAGTAAGGGCTTCCCTGGTGGCGCAGTGGTTGGGGGTCCGCCTGCCGATGCAGGGGAGGCGGGTTCGTTCCCCGGTCCGGGAGGATCCCGCATGCCGCGGAGCGGCTGGGCCCGTGGGCCATGGCCGCTGAGCCTGCGTGTCCGGAGCCTACGCTCTGCAACAGGAGAGGCCACAGCAGTGAGAGGCCCGCCTGCCGCAAAAGAAAAAACAAAAAAAATAAAATAAAGGGACAGAGTAACAGACCGAGGCTATTTAATTATTAAATTATGTCAGTTGAGCACAGTAACAGGCAGGAAAAATACTAACGTGCTCCTGACTGTAGGATAGGTTAAGATATTCCCCAAACTCCCACTTTTGACGTGAAATCTGACTTGCTACTTGCAGCAGATACCCTTGTGGGGAAACAAAGGCCTCTTTTCTTTGCATTTGTGAGTTCATTGAGTTGTCTTCCGTGGGAAGGGCAGGAAGGACAATACCAAAGAGATGGTTTGGGTGACGGCAGTGATCTTAGGGTGCCTCAAAATTGGTGCTTAGGGTAAACAGCCATACCGCAGAGGCAGCAGTTCTGAGCTAACCGTGTATGGTGCCACCTGTCTATATGCTCATGGCAAGGCATGGTATTTTTCTAAATTTGGAAAGTTCCTGTTAATTATTAAGTCCTAAAATATACAATATATCTAACGTGCCCTTTCCTAAGAGAGAATTTGGCAGAGACAGTCCAGAGACTTTAAAGACAGAACATTTCATCATATAGAGAGTTACTGCATATAATTCTCAAACCTTAACAATGAACTTACGTAGACACTTATATCAGCTGTTACTGCTCACAGTGCCTATTGACCGACTACCTGGAGGTCAGACCACTTAGCTTCTCCATTGCCATTTCCCAGGCTCAGAGCCAAAAGCTCTTTCCTCCAGACCCCAGCGCTGAACTCTGGCCCATGAGATATGAATGAAGGTTTGCTGGCATAGACAGAGGGTGCATCTTGGAAAACCTTTAATTGGATTGGCACAGCCCCTCCCCCTTTCCCTTTATCTTGCCTGGAATGTGGATGTGATTTCTGGAGATACAGCAGCAATCTTGTAGCCAGGAAAGAAAAAAAGAACAAGAGAATTGTACAAATACTGGTTCTGATGTTTTGAGCTATAGAACCACCGGTGCTAGCAACTACCTACTTGTGGATTAACTGTATGTAAGAAGAATGAACCCTTATTTTTGAAATTGCTGTAAAGAGTAGTTCTGTGACTTGTAGCTGAAGGCAGCATTTCTAAGGTCCTACAAAATTTTTATAGTACATACTGCTTCACAGGGCCAAAATCATGTGTCATTTAGGCAACACTTCTACACTGCAAGGATTAAAAGTTCTGTAAACAGAATTTGCCTGATTAGTATGTTAAATATTTGTAGTCAAAACTCTTTCAGTGCATCTAATTCTAAAAGGTCAAAGAAGATCCTTTCTTAAGTCTTTGGACTAAAATAATTAAAATATAGTATACAGAAGAATATAATATATAGAAGAAGTATATAGAAGAAATATTGTTCATTGAAGGCATTTCAAAATCATAAGTCTCCTTTAAGAGAATAGACTCATCACCCAGCAAAACCACTACAGCTGCTTCCTGCCCTTTAGATGTATCCGTTCATACTTTTATAAAATTGTCCCTATGCTACAAATTATTTTGTTATTTTTTTTTGCTGAGAAGATTACCATTACACTGTATTTCCCTGTCACTACATGTTTTCTGAAAATGTGATTTTTATGTATAACATTCTATTGTCTAGTTATAGTTGAATTATTTAGCGATTCTTCTAAATGTTGAACATTTAAGATGTCCTAGGGATGAGCATTGTGTGTGGGCTACTCTGATTATTTCTTTGAGATAAATTAAGAGAAGTGAGATTATTGAGACAGAATCATGAACATATTCAGGGCCATTCATGAACACTTCTGTTAACAAGGTAGAAGAATGCTCTTTTTGTCCAAACCTCGATGACACTGGGTATTATCACATTTTAAAACCTCTGCTAATTTTTAATAGGTGAATGAACTCAGATATCCTATACTTTGTGATTGCAGATTTGTTCTTTATCTGGCATATGCCATCTCCGCCATTGGTTTGAAATCACTAAGTTACCATTTGCCAAAGTAAACCAGTAATGAAAAAGGAGAGAACCCCACTCACATCCAAGTCATAAAACCAGTTTGTCCAAAACTGATGAGACAGAAATGATCAGTGCCCAGAAATCGCATCCTTAGTCTGAAGCAGCTTAGCTTTAATCATTCCACCAACTCACAAAAGATGTAATGTAAAGCATGAATAATTGCTTATTGCATCCTCGTTGAAGTTCTTACTATCACCTCGAATAAGCATCGTGGCTGTCACAGAAAAACAGAGCCGACGGTCTAGCACTGCAGACTGACACGAACGAAAGAGTGTGGCCCGAAGGGGTCATCTCCAAATGCCACTGACTCCTTGACAGACTGAGCTGCTTCCAGTGAAGAGATGTTTCTCAAGGGAGAGCGATGGCTCCTAACAGAGTTTGTTCTGGGTGACTGGCAATGAAAAATCCTGGATTTACTTGTTAGCTTCAAGTAATCTTGATTGGTTCCCAGTGCTGTAATTTTGTTTGATCTCTTCCCATCAAAATTCTTTTTCACAGGTTTATTGAGATAAAATTCACACACCACCAAATTCACCCATTTGAAGTTGTACAGTTCAGTGGTTTTTAGTATAGTCATCAAGTTGTGCGAAAGTCACCACAATCCAATTTTAGAACATTTTCATTGACCTAAAAAGAAACCCCGTACCCATTAGCAGTCCCTTCCCTCCCCCCACCTCCAGCCGTAGGCAACCACTAAGCTACTTTCTGTCTCTTCAAAAGGCTTTCATAGTCAAATAATCCCTAGAATTTAGTTTGATTTACCTCTCTTTGGCTGTTACAAGACCAAAAGGTCACAATAGCACCATGCCACCCCCCATTTTTAAAAATTAAATGAACAATAATAGTCTCATTAGGTCTCCAAACACGGGGAAAATAAAAGCATGTTTTCAAAAAATCCCCGGCGGGGTTTGCTGCTACTCTTTGCATGAGATGCACACAGGGTGACATCAGCCAACCCTGGCTCTAGCTGACGGCTGACCAGACCAGATCTACCCCTTGGAATTGGTGTCCACTGGTCGTGGCTTTGGCAGAGTCTGGCATAGGATCTCCTGGTGGAAGGTTTCTGCCGGCCATCAATCACACGTCTTCTCAAGCCGGAAGAGTGACTTTTATTGTAAGCGGGGGGGCAAAAGGTGCCTGACTTGGAAATGACATTGACTGTCCCGGGAGGACTTGTTTCAACTCTGAGAGGTCGTGCCCCGCTGTGGGGGACACTGCGGGGCTTTCCTCCAGAACATTCCTCAGATGTGTAAGGGTGAGAAAGTTACTCAGAGACGGACGGAAAACAATGCCTCAAATACTGAGGAACAGCAAGTGAAGGAAATTTGCTCTGCGGTTGCTAAACTTAATCCAAATAAACCTCGTCTTAGAAGCAGTCAAGCAGCAATACCCGGATTGTCTGTGACAACAAACACACGGGTTAATTACTGCAGCTCAGCTCGACACAGCTGTCAGAGAACTCCTTAAGCAGTTACTTTGTGGCCGGTTGCGGTAGATATTTTTATTACTGTTTGTCATCACTTGTGCTGTGTTACTCTCTCACTGCCTGATGTCTGCATTCAGTGGCGTGGACGATACTGAATGTTCGTAAACTGGTCACAACAGAACTGCCAGGAGAAGAGGAACGGTGCTTGGGCCTATTATCTTGACAAATCCTCAGATTTTTAATGTGGTTCGAGTCGATTCCCTTGGCAACCATGAGATTTGCTTTGACTAGGAAATGGGCATGACCTGGGGAATGAGTCCCTCTGTCTGGGGCCCCGGCTACCTGCTGTCCTATACAAATAGCTCGGTTCTAAATCATTTTAGCTTCTGGAATGGCTTCCCGGACAAAGAGTGCTTCTGTGTCTTTGTCGGATGTAGGCTGAAAGTCTTGGATGGAGAAAATGGATACGTGTGGATTGCAACATCTCTGAGAGAAAGCAGGAAGGCAGGGATTTCCCAAGTTGGAAAGAGGGCTTGGGAAGTGGGAAGTGGAAGTTCTCGTTCTTCCTCTTCCCTTCCCTCCCCGATCTTAGATGTGTCATGACACACATCATCACTGGGTACTGTCCTCTGCCTTCCCTCGGTAAAACACAGATTCGAACCACCAAAAGGAGAAGGAAGGGAAAGGAAACTAACATTTAGTTGATGTCTATTCTTTGCTAGGCACTAAGCTAAGTTTTTTTTTTTTTTAATTTATTTATGCATTTATTTATTTTTGGCTGCGTTGGGTCTTCATTGCTGCGCGCGGCGAGCAGGGGGCTACTCTTCGTTGCGGTGTGCGGGATTCTCGTTGCGGTGGCTTCTCTTGTTGTGGAGCACAGGCTCTAGGTGTGCAGCCTTCAGTCGTTGTGGCAGTGGGCTCAGTAGTTGTGGCGCACGGGCTTAGTTGCTCCGCAGCATGTGGGATCTTCCCGGACCAGGGCTCGAACCCGTGTCCCCTGCATTGGCAGGTGGATTCTTAACCACTGCGCCACCAGGGAAGGCTAAGCTAAGGTTTTAATACATTGTTGCACTTAACTGTCAAACCAAATCTACAAAAAGAACAATTCTGATTGTGCGTATGAGGAAATAGGGGCTCAGGTGAATTAATAACTTGTCCGAGTCACAGAGAGGTTAGGTGATGAGAATTTAGAAATGGCTGAGTGCGTGACTTCCACTAAACCCTGCTCATTAAGGAATTGTTAAAAGCTTGCATTGTCAACAATAATCCACAGTTGGCAAGAACCCTAACCCAGAAGGTTCTCTTCCGAGGTAGTGAGTTTGAGCTCTTTTTTAGGCCCTGGTAACTCGTAAATTCCAGAGTGACAGCACGCCCTCACCTTGAGAATGTGTTGGTTCCTGAGCTCTGAATACATTTCCCTATAGAAATAATAATACGCACAGTGTCTGGCTTCCTAGTCCAGCCTACAAACCCTATTCTATTTATGAAGTACTTGAAAACAGTGCTAATCATACCTCAGATTAGGTACGATTAACTGTCAAGTAATAATGTTTTGGTGGAAAAATAAGTTACTTATGAAGCCAGGAACATATTTCTTCTTATTTACTGTGAAACTGGGGATCATCCCAGCTCTAAACAACCAGTAGTGGTTTCCACAGCCTGGGCAAGAATTAGGTACCCCGGCAGGACGGAGGATGTGAGGGAGGGTCACGTGAGGAGCTCAAGAAGCCCTCAGGTCAGCATGTGGGAAGGGGCAGAGGGAAGGACCCCGGGGCTGTGAGTGAGCTGAAGGCCTAGGCTCGCAGGTGGCGGCAGTGGGCTGGGGCATTTCATGTGCACCAGCCTCTGAGGTTCTATCTCAGGAGGACACACCAAGCTGGTCCTCCTTTTCTTCTCTGCAATAGGACCCACTGTCATTCTAGTCCAGCTTTCCCTTCTTCTCTTCAAGACCACCCTTTCCTTTTTTTCTGAGGCTCGCTCTGTGGGGTCCACTGACTTCACGATCCCCTATTCCTGGAGTGCCCTGCACCTGCCCTGCACACCACAGCCAGAGCAGTCTTTCTAAAACATTAATCTAACTGTGGTGAAAATTCTTCCATGCCCCCCGCCAACCCCCCGCCCCAACACCAGCTGAGGGATTAGAGCCCTCCTTCTTCCAATGACGAGCAAGATCCTCGAAGACCCGGTGCCTGACCTACTTCTCCACTGTCACCTCTCAACACTCAGCACCTCCCAGTTTGAGTGACAGCAGACCTAAAATGCATCAGTTCCCAGCATGCTTTGTGTTCTCTCAAGCTTCAGAACATTCACTTACACTGGTCCCCCTGCCTAAAATACTTTCAGTCTTCCTTCTTTTGCTAACTCTCAATCATCCTCTAAGATGCCTCACGATCACCTCCTGAAGCTCTGCTTGGCTCGCAGGTGGGGATGTGTCCCCCTCTGTGCTCCTCTGTGTTCACTGTGCATCTCTCTCTCTTTTATTTCAACATGATACTGCTGGGGAAAGGGCATGGCTCGTTTGCTGTGCATCCCAGCACCTGACACAGTTCCTGGTAGGAATTCAACACATATATGTTGAGTTGAACTAAGGATGGCTCCCTAAATCTGCCTTACAGTGGACGCCCCACGGGTGTCCACTGGTTCCCCGGCTGCTGGGAGTGTTGTCTGCTACGGCTCACAGTCGAGTCCCTCCCTAAGAACTGACCTCAGTCAGATGGAGCGGCTGTGCCCAAAGTTACAACCCTCCCCCAGAGACAGTCAGTAGCCAATGGCTGATCCATGTGGGGGAGCATCTGGGTTCCTTGCCTCTGAAGGGCCATCCCAACTTCAGAACCCTCACGGGCTTGGCGGAGGCGTCCTTTGCACCAGCCTCAAGGCCGCCCCTTCTCCCTCACCCGGCCCTGCCCTCTCCCTCCCCGACAGGGGTGGTTCCCCGGTAACTCTCTTGCTCACAAATCTCCATTTCAGAGTCTGTTCCTGGCGGGGCCAATCCACCACAGGACTATTGCTTCCAGCCAGTAAACTGGGCAACTACTTCCCTGTTGCCCAGTAAAGCAGAATGCATTTTCCAGCCTTTTCCTTACTATTTGACACTAGAAACAAGTGATCTTTCCTGAGGGGTTTTTATTGTTTGTAACAGTAGAGAAAGACAAAGGACATAAAAAGACTCCTTCAACGCTCCTTCATTTCTTCCTGGAAACCTTCCTCTTTGCCTCCCATCCCCATTTCCCTTATTTAACAAAGCAGACCCGATGGGAAAGACCTAAGTGCACAAAGGTGCTAGTCATGGTGAATCTTAGGTAAACACAGAACTCAGTAAAGCAAACATTTCAGAAGAAAGCTCAGTCATTGGCTGTCCTGGGTGTTTTACTGCAGGAGCTGAGGTGAGATGAAGGCTGAGAAGGGGTTGGGACTAGAGGAAGAAGGAGGGGCAGCAGCACCCCTATTCCAGGCCTGTGATAAGGAGAATGAAAATCAAGGTCCCTGTGTATTATCAAAATAAAACGTTAAGTAAGTAAGATGCTTTTATTACCTTAATGCTGCTTCTTTTCCCATGCTTCTTCCCCTTTTCCAGTTGAAACAGATAGCCTTCAGAATTGCTACGGCTAATTTTCACTTGGTTTCTTTGGCTTCTCTCTGAACTGAGTTGGGATTCACTTTCCACCCTTGACGGTATGGGTGGAAGCGTGACGCCGGGTAAGGCCCCTTCGTGGGGATGCACCTCAGTCAGATGCATCAGCGCTTGCTGATGCTGCTCCATTGTCTGGGTGAGGCGGGAGTCTGGAGAGGCACTAGCAGGTTGGCTCTCAGAGGAAGAATGGAACTTCCTTAAAGGAAAAAAAAGAAGCACAAATCTGTTAATGAAACCTAGATACATAAGACTTTTAGCATAGAAGTCTTTATGAACCATTAATTTGATGTATTTCTCACTCCCCCAATCAAATTAATGTTCTTTAGCTTAATCTTTTCATAAATACATTAATTTCTTAATATCCTCTATTTTTTCTTTAGGATATTCTAGCTCTTACTTAGAACTTTCATTTAGTGCATTCAGAATAGAAAAAAACATCATTCTGAAAAATCAAAGGCATTCCCACCACAAAATACCTGGACAGGTTGGATTAAATTAAACAAATGCCCTTTTAATTAGATAGTTGGATTTGTAAGAGAGACAGGGAATCTTCAGAGACCACAAACTAAACAGAAACTAAAACTAAAGCAGATTTAGGTAAGATGAAGCTATGGCTTTCTTTGAGGGAGTTTGGACCTAAGTGCTTGAGTTTCACCATTCAACACTGGTATGGGATATGTGAGATCTTGGCTCTGTGTCGGGCAGAGAATCAGAACTGAGATGCCTGCGTGAAGGCTGTATGTAACCCTTGAAGAGCTACACCCTCAATAAAAAGGCAAATTAGTGAAAAACTCATTCACCAGCCTTGGGAAACAACAAAGCAAGACTATCTGTCTTAATGTAGGCTCTGAGCTGGGAAAAAAATTCCCTGTGAATATCTACGGGACAACATTTGGGGTTCAAATTTACCTTCCCCACATAATCATGGAAATCCAACACCAAGAAATTAACATAAAGCGATCCTAGAGGAAGGATACCTCTGTAGTATCTGGCAGAAGCAAGTTCTCTGGAAGGATACATTCCCACCCAAGCCTGCCTAGGTGTCTACAGAGAAGATGATAAACATTAAGTTCACAATCCAAAATCCTAGAACATGTGAGTAAATAACCTACCAAGTATGAGAATGAGCAGATACACACACAAAGCAGTAGTAGATTTCTAAGAACTTAAGGTAATTGAATATTAGACAGCATTCATAAGGAAGCATGTTTATAATGATTAAAGACATGAAAGAAGAAATCAAAACCCCGAGAAATATATTCTGAAAAAATAACAGGAAGGTTTTAATCAGAACCATGTAGAACTCCTAGACATGAAAAACACCATTACTGAAATTTACAACTCAGTGGATACACCAAAGAGCATATTGGGGCTGAAGAGACTTAGAAACTTAGAGGAAATTTCTCAGAAAGAGGCATAGAGGGATAAGAGATGGAAATAAGAAACAGTTAAAAAGACACAGAGTCTAGAATAAGAGAATCAAATATACATCTACTTTGTGTTCCTGAAGGAATATGAGAGCAAATTTGGGAGACATAATATTCAAAGGAAAAATGGGTGATAATTTTCCAGAATTTATGAAAGAAATGAACACTCAGATTTAGGAATCCCAGAAAAATCACAAGCAGGATTACAAATTTCAAACCTAGATACATCACAGCAAAGCTTCAGAACACCAAAAACAGAGACCTCAAAACCAAGAAGAGGAAAAACGACAAAGACAAAAAGAATGATAATTACATTGATAAAAGACTTTTCGAAGAAATAGAGAAGCCAGGAAATAGAAAAACAATGTTTTCAAAGAGGTTAATTCTTTATCAAGTTAAACATAATTTAAGATAGAGAGGAAAGTAAAGGAATTTCCAGTAAATTTACCAGTGAAATGTACTTGCTGAAAGAACTTCTAAAGGATCTACTTCAGGAAGAAAGAGTAAAATGGAAAAAAGAATGGGAGGCAAAGACGATAATAAACAACTGGTTAAATCTAAAACAGCACTGACTCTATACAACAGTAATAAAACAATGATTAGTTTTAGAGCTATAAGATGCTGGATTAAAAATAATATGTATGACACAAAGGGTGATTGGATTACAACAATCCAATGATTTGAATATGTCTGCAGGAGAATAGAAATTTTAACACTAGACTAGTTAATAATGTAAGTTTTAAAAAAAAAGAGAATAGAAAGAGAATATGCATTTCCAAATCAGTAGAGGGAAGAAGTAGCAGAAAGTTCTATCAGTTCAACAGACAGTATTAAAAAAATAAAGACAATATGTATTGGAAAAAGTAGGGTGGCTAGGACAAATTAACATAGTAGAAATTAATACAAATATATGAGTATCACAAAAAAAGTAAGTAGTTTAAAGTTTAATATCTGCCCACAAATAACAACAAAAGAAAAGCCAAACAAAAAAACACATGAGAACTAAATAGTTTTACTGGAAAATTCTATGAAATCTTCAAGAAGCAGTTCCAGTTGTACATGAAGTCTCCCAGAGGATATAAAATGGGGGAATTATTTTAAGGCTGGCATAATCTTGATAACACATCCAGGCGGGGGCTGATGGCAGATTGGAGAATTTTGAGCCAGGCGCACTTCCTGCATGTGGATGTTAAATCCTAAACAGTGTTAACAAATCAAAGCAAGCAATATATTAAAATCCTGTGGCAAGTTGGGTCAGTCCTGGGAATAAAAGGACGATGGAATGTTAGAACATCTGTTAACACATTTAGCCACATAAAGGATTCAAGGAGAAAATTTTTCAATTGATGCAGAGAATTTGATAACATTAAATATCTATTTATGATAGAAGTTCTTTGCAGGAAAAAAATAGGAATAGGAGGTCAGTTCCCATTTATCTCCCTAACTACTAAAAATTAAATATTTTTAATGGCAAAAATGTTAGACTCAGTCCCTCTAAAGTCAGGAAAAAATGATGAGAATGCCTGCTATCTATCTATCACTATCTCTTCTAGGAAGCAAATTCTGAATCTTATTCATTGTACATTCCATACCTCCACGTGGAGCACTTAAATGTCTTCTCATTAATTCATGTGTGTCAGACTGTCTCCCTACTTTGAAAATAAGCTCCTTGAAGGTTCCCATGCATCATACTACTTTTGTATCTTTTATAGCTTTTTAGTCCTATATTCAGCCCTATCAGGTATGTAATAAACACATTTGACTGAATGATATCAAGAAATACCCCGATTTTAAAAATAGCTTTTCTTTCTTCTAATTATAGAAGTAATGCATCTACACTGTAGGGAACTGGGACAAGTCAGAAAATATAAAGAAGAAATTAAAAAGAATCCCAATCTCTCTTGCCAGAAATAACCACTATTGACATTTTGGTGCATTTTTCGTCTTCTCTGCACATTTTGACAGAGTAGATAGAGCTCATACTCCTTAGGTGTAATTTTTGCACTGTACTATTTTCTCTTTATAGAAGAATTTCCTCATAAACATGGTTTTTAGTGCTTACATGATATTAAATATTATAATTAATCTAAACATTTCCTTATTCAGTTATTGTTGTCATTTCTGTAAATGAGATATATATATTTTTTTATTGAAGTGTAGCTGATGTACAATGCTGTGACAATCTCTGCTGTATGGCAAAGTGACTCAGTTATCTACATATAGACATTCTTTTTTTGTATTCTTTTCCATTGTGGTTTATCACAGGATACTGAATACAGTTCCCTGTGCCATACAGTAGGACCTGTTGTTTATCCATCCTAAATGTAATAGTTTGCATCTACCAACCCCGAATTCCCGGTCCATCCCTCTCCCTCCCCGTCCTCCCCCTTGGTAACCACAAGTCTGTTCTCTATGTCCGTGATTCTGTTTCTGTTTTGTAGATAGGGTCATTTGTGCCATATTTTAGATTTCTCATATAAGTAATATCATATGGTTGTGAATGATATTTTTTTATCCCAAGTGTTTTTTTCCTGTATTTTAGATTATTTTCTTAGGATAGACCATTACAGAGTTGGAGAGAATTTGTTCCCTCTGAACATTACTTGCGACCCTCAAAATATACTGATCTTTTTTGACTGGGTCCCTCTGCCCTTCTCCCTCCAACCTCTGGTTTAACGACAGTGAAAAAAGTAGAGGAGACAGGGAAGAAGAAATACATCAAAAGTGGACTATTTTCTGCAGAAATCAAAGGCAAGAACGTCGTTAGGAGAATTTTTCCTCTTGCCTGACCATCGCCATGAACAGCCCCCGCCCCTCCACCACGTCCTCCCCGTCCTGTCTTTCTCTAGCAGCCTCTCATTACTCTAGAAAACCACTTGAGAACAGGAAATTCTTACCATAATATTTCTAAGTCCTTATACTTTGTTTCTGTATAAGTCCGTTTGGGTTGCTTCTTATTTTCAGTTGATCCACTATCATTTATGTTAGAAACAGACTGAGAGCCTTTCTGGCTAAGGGATGCGTGCTTCTTATTCAGTTCATGAAGATAGTTCAAGTCCGTATTGGAAAGAGTGTCGATGTGTAGCTGCTGATTTGAAAATCTTTTCTCTTCTTGGTCTTTGCGTCCTCTTTCCGTATTAACATTCATCATTGAGTGACACCTGGTAGAATTTCTATATAATACCTTGTCCGAAGCCTGGTGTGGTGGAGCAAATTTATTGGAGGTTACTTTGGATTCCTGGCTTCTCGGTATACCTGAGTATTGTAAATCATTGTTCGGGGCATTCATAACCACGACTGTTTCCTGTTTCACTGCCGTAGGTATAGGCTTAGTTGGGGTTTGCTGCTGTCTGGAAGCGTTATTCTGGTTTCCTTGACTGACAACCAGCTCTTCAGTCACCAAAGACTTTGGGCCATGCCGGTGTTCATGCTGTTTTTGAATCTTGTGCTTGGCTGGTCTTCTGGAAGGTTGCTGGCCATTGGTTGTTTCTGAAGATTGACCTCTGGGTCCATTGCTTGATTTTGCATTTTCAAATTGAGACCAGTGTTCCTGGTAGTCCTAAAAAGATATTTTTAGTTAATATAAAGTTAAAAGATTGACACTCTTCACCAATTTTAGTGTTTCTCAAACTGGGAGTTAAGACTTCTAGGAAGGTGACCACAGAATTGAAAAGAGCTAAAGAAGGAGAACAGAGGGTCCTTTCCTCATTTCGGGCAATGAAAGGGTGATTAGCTGAGTGGTTCCTCCTGGCAGTTTCAGGTTATGAATTTTCTAGAAAGAAATAGCTTAGAATGGGCATTATATTAAGGGCAAGTCTTTGACTTAAAATGTTGTAAGATGAAGTATTACCAAATGGGGGGAAAAAGCAGCTTTACCTCTAAAGAGCTGCATACAAAGGAAGGGCGAATCAACATCAAAATATGCAAGTTTATCTTAACTAAGATGAATATTTTTAAAAATATTATCCAGAAAGAACATCAACAATTTGCTTTGCCCACCAAGTACAAGTTTAATACGAAATACAATTCAGATTATCAGATCTTCTTACTCACATAGGTCAGAAGCTAGAAATGATCTCTTCACCAGATGAAACAAATTAGATTTTATTCAGAGGATTATAAAAGAGTCTGTGCGGTGATAGGACATCTGTGAAACCACAAGGGTTGTTTTGCTTCTGTTCCTTAATATAGCCTGTACTTAGGCAATCAAACATCTGGGGGAAATATTTCAATTTCAGAGCAGTCTTTATGCTTTCCAAAGTCTTGTAACAACAAAATGTACTCCTGATATAATAGATGCACTATGTAACTATATTGTGCTAAGCCATTTAGACATATTTCCCGAGGAATAAAGCGCTCATTACTTTGTGAAAAACTAGCTGAGTTAAGAGGCCTTTGGAAAGAATGATTAAATGCTTACTGAAAACAGTCCGAGGACCATATGCCTCAGTGTGTTATATAACTGTAACATAATTCTTCCTTGCTGAACACACGTATAAAAAGCCTCTGTGGCCTGTATCTATGCAACGTTAATCGAAAAATGCAAGTTACCCAGATCATTTGAGAAAAAAACTTGAATAAATCATGTTTTTGCTCAAATTGTTTTAAGGATAAGTTCAACTTTTATTTCACTTTTCTGATATAATTGCTAAGGCTCATCCTGCTCCTGTATAATATTTACTGGTATTCTACTTCTCATGAAATCTCATTATAACGATAAGGTTGAGATTATTCAATTTAAAACAGTAATACACAATATGACTTCTTATATCAGATTTTCAAGTAAGAATGACTTATAATTCAAAATGTAGAGTAAGTTCTCCTTAGAATTTGAACTTTTTGGAGGATTGGCCAGGTTCTTAGTAGCTCCTCTAAACTTTAAGTTTTTACCTGTGGTGCTCCAGAAAAGAAAATACTTCCTTTTCTGTCTGTATTTCAATTAAGAAGGGTCCTTCTTTTCATTGCAATATATTGAGCTGCATGGGGGAAATGTGGGCAAGGAGGCGCTGCCAACAGACAGCCCAAGAGCATCCTTCCTTGTAGTGGATCCAGAAGAACACTGTTATTTACACTCTTGTAGGTGTGTCCATGAAACACAGCAGCTCTTTTCATGGCTGTCATCACTGTTCTTGGAGGTCAAAAAAGATCCCTCTTTGCTATGACCTAGAGATATTTATTAATGCTGATAATGTCATTCTTTTCAATATTTGTTCAGCCTTCTTTTAAATTGAAGGATAGTTGATTTACAATGTTGTGTTAATTTCTGTTGTACAGACAAGTGACTCAGTTTAACACATATATACATTCTTTTTGTCTATTCTTTTCCGTTATGGTGTATCACAGGATATTGAATATAGCTCCCTGTGCTATACAGTAGGACCTTGTTATTTATCCATCCTATATATAATGGTTTGCATCTGCTCATCCCAAACTCCCAGTTCATCCCTCCCCCACTTCTCCTTCCCGTTGGCAACCACAAGTCTGTTCTCTATGTCTTTGGGTCTGTTTCTCTTTCGTGCATAAGTTCACTTGTGTTATATTTTAGATTCCACATATAAGTGATACCATGTGGTGTCTGTCTTTCTCTTTCTGACTTATTTCACTTAGTATGATAATCTCTAAGTCCAACCATGCCTGTTCAGCCTTTTAATTGCTAGAAAAATAAGTGACCAGGAACTCTTTTTCTGCTGCCATATGACTGTACTTGTCCAGCTCTGTCTCTCTCATTTCCACCAAAAAAAACCTATCAAGAATGTTCTTTCCTGGGGTACCAGACCCAAAATCTTGGGTTACCACTTGGTCTTAATCCTGTTCTACATTTGCAGCTGACAATTCAGATGACAGTAGTGCTCTTCACAGGGTGCTTTGTCAATGAGGCCAAGGACTCATCATTTCATGAGAAACTTCATTTGCCTCGAGTGTTAAATCCACTGTTCACGTAAATGTAAGTGCCCAGAGACGGCATTTCAGTCTCCAGAAAGAAAGACGTTTATGGGCTTGATGCGATCTCTCTCACCTTCCGAGCAGCCTACTTGAGATCTGAGGTTTACTAAAGATTTATTACCTACAATTGAGGCATCAGGTGTCACTCTTTAGGTGGCAAGACCCTAGTTCCCTGAAGTTAATATACAAAGCCATTCTCAGGCTATTTAATCTCCGTCAGCACCGAAATCCTCTATTTCATCCCCCTCTCACTGGGGTTCTTTTGTTACCAACACTCACAATCAGTCCGGACCAAGCACTCAGAATAACTGCTTAATGGCAGTAGGTTTTCCCAGCACACACAAAGCAGAGTCCTTTGGCTGCAGCGTTAGCACCGGGGTCTCCTGATGCCTAATGCTGGGATGGTAATTTCTCAGTAAGATCTGTGCTCAGTTATTAATGCTCCTTCATACTGTGCCATCCAAGGGAAGTCTGCCCCCAACCCTGAGACAGGCAGCATCTGGCTATTTCTCTTTCACGACTTTTTCCGTTTACATGACCTAAGCAGAGGGGAGAATGCACGCTTTGATGTCAGCCAAAATGTTAATCTGCTTTAAAACAAAAGCCGTTATTGTTCTTAGTCACCCTGATCGACCCTGGAGTCCTGAGGGTTGTGCCTGGGCTCCAAGATTAACTCTGAAGTTTCTTTTGTGTTTACTAACAACAAAACACACATTCTCTGAGTCTGGGTTATACATTCCATTCGATAATATTAATAAAATTTAGAGAACACAGTAGCTCTAATATACAGTGCTAGTATAGAAGGGCTCTGTGCTCAGGTGAATAAAAGCGGCATAGCTCTGTTGATAGTGCTGGAGGAAAACAAAATGAATAGCTCTTTGGAAAGGTGGGAAGATCACTTAGGATGTGGTCACAAGGATGCTGACATAAATACGTCAAAGACGCTGCATATCTTTTGCGCTATCGTTTCTTTTCCTTGTCTAGAGAGGCAAGAGTTATTTTATTTAGAGGCAAGAAAGGAAACTTCCCGTTTCATCCTTTTGAAGACTCATGTATTTGGGGAACTTTCTTCTTTTCCCTCCTTTCCTGGGAAGGATCTTCTGCTGGTGGGATTGTACCCTCTTGCACTGGCCAGCAAGGGTCTGACCCTTAGCTCAGTACTGTGTCTGGTTCTGAGCACACAGTGGAAATGGGATTTGGAAAATCTGTGAAGATTCACAGGAGCGCACGAAGCGATTCAGGGCAAGACCTATGTGGACAGGTAAAGTGACGACGGATTGCTTGGCTTGAAGTAAGGATCTTAGGCATGTGTACGGCACTTAAATAGAAAATGATGAGGATGACCATCAATTCTCAGTATTTTTTTAAAATAGATCTTTATGGGAGTATAATTACTTCACAATACTGTGTTCGTTTCTGTTGTACAACAAAGCGAATCAGCCATATGCATGCACATGTCCCCATATCCCCTCCCTCTTGAGCCTCCCTCCCACCCTCCCTATCCCACCCCTCTAGGTCATCGCAAAGCACCGAGCCAATCTCCCTGTGCTATGCTGCTGCTTCCCACCAGCCAACTATTTTACATTCGGTAGTGTATGTATGTCGATGCTACTCTCACTTCGCTCCAGCTTCACCCTCCCGTCCCACATCATCAAGTCCATTTTCTATGTCTATCTCTTTATTCCTGCCCTGCAACTAGGTTCATCAGTACCATTTTTTTTTTCAGATTCCATATATATGTGTTAGCATACGGTATTTGTTTTTCTCTTTCTGACTGACTTCACTCTGTATGACAGACTCTAGGTCCTTCTACCTCACTACAAATAACTCAATTTCGTTTCTTTTTATGGCTGAGTAATATTCCATTGTATATATGTGCCACATCTTCTTTATCCATTCATCTGTTGATGGACACTTAGGTTGCTTCCATGTCCTGGCTATTGTAAATAGTGCTGCAATTAACACTGTGGTGCATGTTTCTTTTTGAATTATGGTTTTCTCAGGGTATATGCCCAGTAGTGGAATTGCTGGGTCGTCTGGTAGTTCTATTTTTAGTTTTTTAAGGAACCTCCATTCTGTTTTCCATAGTGGTTGTATCAATTTACATTCCCACCAACAGTGCAGGAGGGTTCCCTTTTCACCACACCCTTTCCAGCATTTATTCTTTCTAGATTTTTTGATAATGGCCATTCTGACTGGCGTGCCATTCTGACCAGCGTGAGGTGACACGTCATTGTAGTTTTGATTTGCATTTCTCTAATAATTAGTGATGTTGAGCATCTTTTCATGTGCCTCTTGGCCATCTGTATGTCTTCCTTGGTGAAATGTCTATTTAGGTCTTCCGCCCATTTTTTAAAAATCAATTTGTTTATTTATTTATTTATTTTTGGCTGTGTTGGGTCTTCGTTTCTGTGTGAGGGCTTTCTCTAGTTGCGGCAAGTGGGGGCCACTCTTCATCGCAGTGCGCGGGCCGCTCACTCTCGCGGCCTCTCTTGTTGCAGAGCACAGGCTACAGACGCGCAGGCTCTGTAGTTGTGGCTCACGGGCCTAGTTGCTCCGCAGCATGTGGGATCTTCCCAGACAAGAGCTCGAAGCCATGTCCCCTGCATTGGCAGG